CACCTCGACTTCCAGAGCTCTGGAACAGATGCAGTGCATTGCAGATCAGCTGTTCTTAAGGCACATGGTGAAAACAACAGTTTATTATCTCGGGTGATTCATCTCTCCGAGTCAAACATTCTGTGCCAGTAGTAGATGAAGGTTGGCGAGTTGCTGGCCCCAATCACTATCAACAACAGCAGGTACAGCATCATCATTATGGCAAAACGGTGGGTGTAGAACCAGGAAGATTGACTAGAAGGCCTGAAAAGGGAAAAGTGCATGGATTCTGTCAGAGATCCATGGATACCTTGGCAAAGAGTACCTTAGATTTCATTAAGTGGTTAAGAGAATGCAATAAAAACAGGAAGTTGTTCCACAATCCCTGTAACTAACAAAGCCTGATTTTCACCACATCCCTTTTCCCTAAGTCTCCGTGCACAATCCTATCTTTTCTCCCCATGTTCACACCTTTCTCTGTGGTTTGGAGCTGTAGCTGCCTGGCCCTCAGGCATGTGTTGATTAGCCGAGTGAATGCTGCCACTCAGGATAGATAAGAGCTGAATTAAACCTGCCCCAGTTTTAAGAGCTACACTCACCAGACTTTCATTCTTGGTCTCCTGCCACAAACAGATTATTAGAGCTCTCAAAGATAGTAAGTGCTTACAGGTCTGGTGAAAAAGGAAATTTAGCTGAGCCTGAGAACGTCAAAGAGTGAGACAGAGGCAACATGATGCTGTAAGCCTCAATTCCATAGGAAACAGGCTGAAAACAAATTCTGGCAGTGCAGTGTATTTTTTTGCTTGTTTTGTGTTGCTTTTCAACAATGAGAAGTGTTTATCTGGCTGTTATAGCACACTCATCACTCTAGACAGCTGAACTCTTACCTCCTATGCTGTTTCTGTGAATACACTAGCAAGTATTTAACTCGTAAAAGCTGGTTGTTTGTGACAACAAAGTATTTCTGTGGTACATCCCCCCCTTCGCTGTTCTTCACTCTTGCTCTTTTTCTGTCTATTTCTTCTGAATCTGAATTGGGAGGAGAAAAGAGGGTTTAGGGGGAACAGAAAAGCAAACAAAATACACAGAACTTCAAGCAACTGTGAAAAAAGCAAGCAACCAACACACACATACACACCCACCAGAAGAATGGGAATGAGATAACCAAAGATCTAGTCTTGGTATTCCCCTGAATCCCTCAGCATCCAAGAATAGACTGAGAAGTTTGCCTGAGGCTATACCACTCCTAGTCATCTTTGGTATGGATGACATTATGGCCCAGACCAGGGTGACAAGGAGGTGGGTCTCCCACCCAGTGCTCAAGGAGCTGCTAATATTAACAGGGAAAGAAAAACAACATGAAGCACAGATGTAGTTACTACACAGAGTTATTACTGCGGTAGACTCACCTTTCTTCTTCACCTGGCACTTCACATCTGGGTGGTCAATGATCTCACAAACAGCCACACAGCTGAGGACAGAGCCCAGTGCGCTTCGCTGCCAGCCGAGACCGTGAGGGCTGTAGAGCAGAGCCAGGCTCAGGTCACTGGTCAGATAGGTGCCTTCACCAAACAGGGACGTCTGAAACAGAGCAGAAATCTGTCCTAAAATCCTCTAGTGCAAACCTCAGACAACATACAAGTGTTCTTTGCTTTCAGACTGACAGTTCTGCTTCTGAAGGTAAATTACAAAAGGCTTTTCTGACCTGCCTTGGGCCTGGTCAGAAAGGTCAAACAAAAACATGCACTGTTTTTGTCCTGGCACAGCTTCCTCGGGGTGGGGCTGCTGCCCTCTCCTATCCCTCAAATTATCTGTCTGGCACAGCCCCTGGTGTGGACAGATTCATGCTTTCCCAGATTTGGATTTCATTTGCCAGCATAAGTATTTTACATCAACATGACTGCCCTGCTGTTAAAAGGCATTTCATTGATTTATTGAGATTGTCATCATCTAAATAATCCAGCCTCCCCAAACAAGGCAAGGCCTTACTTGGATTAAATCCATGCTTTACTAGAAAAGAGGGAAGTACTTTTCAGTTATGAATGCCTTTCATATAAAAGTGTTTTAATAACTTGGAATCAGAGGATTTGCCATACTAGCTAAAATTGTTAATCCAGTAAGTCCATTGTACCCTGTAAGCCATTACTCATCTAGAATGTGGGGAAAAGGCATAGTCCAGGTTGACTGGAAGGTCAAGCAGGTGCTGTGTCAAAGCTGACTTACAGCTGACACAAAAAGCCAGGAGTTCCAACTGCCTTTCCACTGAAATCAGAAGAGGTGCAAATCCTACGGGATGTCTCCCTAAACCAGGCCATTTAAAGAAGGCTCCACTTGTGAGTAGCACCTAAAACTTTGCTGACCTAAACACGAGGCCATGCAGAAAGAGAGAATCTCTACAATGCCTGGGCCACTATCCTCCTCCACCCTTTTGGACAGGCACTGTCCAGCTGCAGGCTGTCAGACAAGCCAATACTTTCAGAGGAATTACACTTGCTTACAAAGCAGCAAAGGATAGTCATAATTTGTCACGCTGGAGAAAAGGGTTTCACACCACTTCCAGTTTTTACCCTTGGGCTGCACTAGAAAATCCAACACAACCATCCACTAAGGCCTAAGATGAAGTGAAAACAGCAGCACAAGATCATCAGCGCATTTCACACCCCCAGAAGGATTCTGGGCCTATTTTCAAAAAGTGTCCCTATCTGCAAGTGACAAAGAGAAGACCCTGCCAATAGCAGGAGCCTCACCCTGTTCAGATGGCAGTGCAGGCCGTTGTGCAGGATGGAATGGAAGTTCTCCAGGCGGCTCCCATGGAAGGCATAGATGAGGTCCCGCTCTCCCCTGGTCTCAGCAAACTTGGTATTCATTTGATCACAATATACAACTTCAAAGAGATAGTCTGGAGCAGGAACTGCAGTCCCAGACATCCCTGTAAGCTCCTGGATCTTCTCGTACTTAAAAACAGGAAGGAATATGAGTGTTGGTTTATGGGGTCAGATTACTCAGTGGAAATTCTGCTTCCTATCCCTTCACATTGCTTGATGTATTCTGATTATGCTTTTACAAGTTAGAATTCAACACTGTCACAATTCAGAAGGAGTAAGCAGGCAGTAAAAATTCTGACAGTTTCTTGCTATCAAAGTTAAACCCTAATTCTTCTTTCCAAAAAAAACCAAACAACCCTGAACTGTGATTATAAATTATTTGATGATGTAAGGACGATATCACAATTCTACTTTGGCTACTCAGATGATACATTCATCAGCTGATCTTGGAAGAGAAAAAAAAGTGAAAACAGAAGTTGTTTTCATCTTGCTGCTAATCTCTACAACTATTTTGATCCCTATTACAGAAGTACCTCAGTGGTGCTGAACCTTTCCATTTTGGGGGCAGAAGGCAGAGTTGTCTTTCTCAGTGACACACAACTTGGGCTATCTTGGTCTAGAACATTCACATACATACTACATTAATGCAAGTAACCAACTACAATCACTGTCCATCATCAACAACTGACAGTGATAACTAATTCTTCCAACCAGTGTTCCTGAAAATTTTATTTGCATACAAAACAACCACCTCTGTATATACAAGCTCTCACAATAACCAATTCTGGCAGGAGGAAATACTCTCTGAAGTGCAGGTTTGTCTTAAAATAACAAACTCTAATCTAGACTTTAAGAATTCAAAATTTACCTCATGTTTCTTAGTACTTTGTATCGTGAACACTTTAGATGATAGAATCCAACTGAACAGATCCCAGGTCCTTTTTTCTGTGTTTGGAACAGACTCCAGAAGTTCTTTCAGGCTTGGTAGAGCATCGATATCTGCACGCTAACAACAGAGGCATTTAGCACAAGCTCCTTCATTCCATTGTGATTAAACAGGGACCTCTAGTGAAAACAAAACAATATTTCACCCCAACAAACTGAAAAACAGGTTCTGTTCTGAGATATAAACATTTCTATCCAGTTTGTGGGAAAGTTTGTCAATTGCTCTGAAAGCAAATACCAGAGAAGTTACAAATATTTATATTTACCGGCAGTATCTGTAGAGTATGTACAGGAACAAGCAAACACACTCTTGAGAGAAGACAAGCTGTCACAGGGCAGTATGTACAGCAGGACTGACATGGGGTGTTCAGGCCATGTAATATGCAAACTCTTTGATACTAATTGAATTTTATGTAGGGGCAAGCTCTTCTAACACTTCTTAGAATCACAGAGACACTAAGTCTAAGATTATCGAGACCAACCACTACCCCAGCAACGCCAAGCCCACCACTGAACCACGTCCCCAGGCGCCAGATGTACAAGTTTTCCGAACACTTCCAGAAACAGTGATTCAACCGCTTCCCTGGGCAGCCTGTTCCCGTGCTGGCCCACCCATTCAGCGAAGAAATTTCCCCTAATATCCAATCCAAAGCTTCCTGAGGCAGCTTGAGGCCGCTTCCCCTCGTCCTCTCGTTACCTGTTACCCATCGCTCGCTACTTCACACCCCCACGCTGGCGCTTCCAAGCGCGGGTTTATCGCTCAGAAACCCAACTGTGCTTTCAAACCTGGATCCTGTGACTACATAAACCCTTCATCCAGCCTCATCCACGCCCCCGAGGCGCCGCCGCCCTCCCCTCAGCGGGCAGCCCGGACTCGCCCATGGAGCGGCTGCTCCTCGGCGCTCACCAGCCCCTCGAAGTCCTTGGTGTCGCCGCTGGCGTAGCGCCCGGGAAGGGCCCTCAGCGCCGAGTCTCGCTTGTAGCTCTGCAGCGCGGCGGCGAACAGGCTGCACCGCAGGTCGGCGGCCAGCGGGTCCGCCGCGCCGCCTCCCCGGCGCCCGCGGCCGCCTCGCCGGGCCCGGGGCCGGGCGGTGAACATGCCCCGGCGGCGGCTGCCGAGCGCCGGCCGCTCCGACACGGCGGCAGCGCCCGCCCCGCAGGCGTCGCCCCTTCCGCCGCCAGGGCCGCTCCATGGCCCCGCTGCTCCGCCCCGCGCCGCCCCGCTGCCTTCGCCGCCCGCCCCGCGCCGCTCGGCCGCTGCCGGTGCCCGCACGGCTGGGAGGGAGCGAGGGCGGGCGGCCTCTGTGCCGTTCGTCGGGGACGGGGAGGAGGGAGGTGCGGGCGGAATGGCGCCTTCGCCTCAGGTAGAGACCAGAGAGGGGTACAGGGGACGATGGCATCTTCCCCTCGGGTAGAGGCTGGGAGAGGGGTACAGAGGGCAATAACGCCTTCCCCTCGGGTATAGACCAGGAGAGCAGCTCATGGGGAAAATGGCACTTTCAGTTCAGGTAAGATGACGATAGGAGTACAGGGGACAATAGCGTCTTCCTCTCAGGTAGAGAGCAGGAAGGTGGTACAGAGTAAGGGAATGGTGCCTTCGCCTCAGGTAAAGATCTGAAGAGGGGTACGAGGAGGGCGTGGTGCTTTCCCCTCAGGTAGAGACTGTGAGGGGGGTGCAGTGGGAAAATGGCGCCATCCCCTCAGGTATTGATCAGGAGAGGGGTACAGGGGGCAATGGCATCTTCCCCTCAATTAGACACCAGGAGAGGGGTAAAGAAGACAATGGCACCTTCGCCTCAGGTAGGGACTGGGAGAGGGTTCAGGGGGGAATGGCACCTGCCTCTTAGGCAAAGACTGGGAGAAGGATACGGAGGGTAATGGCACCTTTGCCTCAGATGGACACTGGGAGGGGGATACAGTGGGAAAATGGCACCTTCCCCTCAGGTATCGACCAGTAGAAAAGTGTAGATGGAAATGGCACCTTCCCCTCAGGTAGAGTCTGTGAGAGGGGTGCAGTGGGAAAATGGTGCTTTCCCCTCAGGTGAAGACCTGGAGAAGGGCCTTGGGGAGAAATGGCCCCTTGCCCTCAGGTAGAGACCATGAAAGGGGTACAGAGGGGAAATGACGTCTTCTTCTCAGGTAGAGACTGGGAGAGTTTAGGTGCCTTCCCCTCAGATAGGAGAGGGGTAAAGGAGGCACTTGCATCCTCCTCTCAGATAGAGACTGAAAGGGGTTATGGGTCAGGGGAGATAAGTGTCACCTTCCCCTCAGGTATAGACTAGGACAGGCCCATGGGGCAGGGAGGATGTGGAGGGGAGCCCAGCTCTCCGTACCCGTGACACCAGAGCATCAGGACCCCAAGGCAGGGGACAGTGGGGAGATGATGGCAGTGTACTGGGATGAGTTGCACCATGACCATGTCAGATGGCTCATGCCCCATCCCCTGCACAGCATCCCAGGCTGGGGCATGGCAGATGCAAACTCACAGCTTGGGCACTGCATTCATGTGAAACAGCAACGCAGATCAGCCAGAAAGGTCATCCAGGGAGACTGCTTTTTGGTTTTATGTGGTCTAATTTTAACAGGCTTCCTTATGTCAAAAACATGCAGATGTCATTACTCCTCAACAGGTCCCTTTATCATCCAAACTTGTAGCCTTGTGAATGAATCCAGGTTTGTTTGAGTCATCTCTGCAAACTGGTGTTGCAGGATTAAGGGAGAGGAATTTACTTTTTAGTTGAACCTCTTACCAGTGGTTTCACCAGGTGGCGTTCACTGTGTTGCCTGAGATTGGGGCTCAGTGTTCCTCCCTGATGCAGTGTTAGTGCTGAGAAGCATCTCTCCGGTTCCAAAATGTTTTAGAAATCACCATCATCAGGATGGAGGTCTCCTCAACCCAAATGCTGTTGGTCTCCTGAGTACAATTTTGGAAATATTTCACTATGTGTGGTATCTTCTAACACCTTTCTTGATTTCTTCATTCAGGAGGAATATTGCACATATCCATGGAATAACTGATGCAGGTGACACACGGACTATTGCAGATACTCAGAAAAATGTTAAGGTCAGTTGTGGATACCCATTACTGGGCTCTTGTCTCACAGCTGGATCTCCAGAGATTGGTGGAGGTGCAATTTGCAGCCTTCCTCAGAGTAAACAGGAACACCAGCTGTATTACATCCTGTCTAAGGGCAAACTGGTATCAAAGCAAACAAAATGTGGACTTCATTCAAGTGCAGAGTTCCTGTTCTTACTCACCCACTCAAATGGCTTGGGGATATAAGGAGGTTTCTAAATTCTGGATAGGACCAGATAGATCATAGGCTGTGCACAGTTACATTAAATTGCAAAGTATTTTGCAATGATGTATATAAATCAAGTTGAGTTATAGGTTTATTTACTTGCTTTTTACAGGTTTATTTACTTGCTTTTTATGAGTTTATCAAAAAAGTGTCTTTCAGTAACAGCTGCATGAACAAGGCTTCAATAGGAAGCCATCAGTCCTAGAACAGCACAAATACTTGCTTAGGTCTCACATCTAGTTGCAACGTGTAGATAAAAGGATTTTAAAGGTACCTTTGTTTTAGGTTACCCAATTTACTAGTTGTCTGGATATTGTTTTTTCTTTTAAACAGCATCCAGCCTGTGAGGTCTGTGCTATTTTTCCCTTGCTTGCTCCAGAGGGTCTCCTGCATACCAGGAGCATGGATGGGTGACTTAAGAAGAGGTCTAGCACCACACAAAGCTTTTTCTCAGGAGTTATGGAAATTACCCAGACTTAAAATGCAGCTGGAGCGATTCCTTTCCGTATTTCTATATCCTTGAGAGGATGTATTTTACTTTATCTGATGTGGTGCCTTATTCTGCTGTAAATATCTGCTATCTCTGACAGACTGTTAGCGACATCATTCAATGATCCAGCTCAGGACATGTTTATTATCTCCCATGATATTAAATTGTTCTGTGTGGTCCTTTTGAAAAATCAGTTCTTGGCTGTCTAATTGGCTGATTTCATTCACTAATAAATCATTAGGTGTAATAATTTTTGATGCCTGTTTAAGAAGATTAGAAAATGGTAGAGGTGTCTCTTTCAAGACATTTGGATGGAATTTTACGTTTTTATTTTTAGCTCTTGAACTGATATAATTCCAGTGATCTCATTTAAGATACCACTCACTGTGGTAGAGGAGAGAGGAGGAGTACTGCTGATATCCCTGTGACAGGTAAAGACTCTCCTGTTCAGGAATTTCTGCATGCTGTATCTTTTACCTCCCAGCATGCCCGGGGCTGTCATTTTGGACAGAGCGGGGTGTGGAGGGCACTGTCAGCTGGGGCTCTGCTATGGGGGACATCTTGGCATGTGACTAAGGAGTGAGGACAGGCAATAGTCCCTGAGGAGAAGCTGGAAGAGAAAGACAGCATGGTGATTTGGGAGTGGAGAGCTGGAAGGAAAAGGGTTTCCTTGGAACCGCGTCGGTTCTGGGGATGCTGGGCTTACAGTGCCACTACTTCTTGTGTGTTTTAAGAGTGCAGTGAAGACCTTTTGTGGCCTTGTCCTGGCATAAAGAAATTAACCCAAAATAGATCTAAAACATCACTGGCATCATAATAGTTAATGGAGATTCTGAGAGCATTGATCCAAAACTGATGCCTACCTTTGGGATTCCAAATGGATGGTGCTTCCATTACGGCAAGCTCAGCTGCGTTCGACAGTGACAGATATTGATGAGATAACAAGTTTGCTGCATTGATGCTGCCTGAGAGTGCTGTCTGCTCAAACTCATCTAAACCCTGTTTTACAAAGCAGCCCCTAAGGCAGAGATGAAGCACTGAAAGCTTTTTGGGCCGGTTTTAAGGGTGGTGCACCTTTTGTGTGCTGTTGATGCTGAACATCAACCATTGTAGACTCAGGCCTGCAAAACGTGTGAGGATAAAGTCATTGTTCCTTTGGAGGGGAAGCACAATTCCCCCTGGTGTTACCTGCAGCACATAAGATTTTCCAGCCTGTGCCTTGCAGAAGCCCCAGACCTAGAAGAATTCTATTCATCCCTCTCCCAATAGCTCCAGGAGGCACCATGTTGGCAAGGCTTTGGAGTCAGGAGAAATATGGAACAGCTGCTGGTTTAGCTTTGGTGTTGAGGCTTTTTAAGTGCTGCAAGTGCATGCTGTGGGCTGGAGGCTGAGATTCAAAAGCATCTTTCCAGTCCTTTTAAAAACAACTTGATGAGCAACCCTTCAGCAGTGTGTTGTGCACCTCAGTATCTCCCAGTGACTGCATCCCACATCCCAAGCTTTCTCCCACATCTTTGTACCCCTGCTTGGAGGGCTTCTACCTTTAATACCTACAGACAGGCAAGACTGGCAGGGGCACTGGCAAGGAGCTCTCTTCTGCTTTTCTGAGAAGTGCCTTTCAAATGTATTTCCGTTTTCCCATTTTATTTTCCTAGATAGAAAAGCTATCCTTGGTGATTTGCTGTGATTCAGTGCAAAGATGGTTTTGTAAAAGATACTGAAAGGGTCGTTGCCAGTGCAGGAGTTTGAATAACGTGGCTGTACGGCTTCTTATGAAATTGAAGATCTGATTATTAAACATAGACCGTAATAAAAATAGTTTCTGGTGTTGGCGGATGCATTTCAGCAAAGAAATGTGGCTTAAATGTCTTCATTTAATTCCAGTGTGTTTAAAATTGATCTCATGGACCGGAAAAGAGGTTTTTTTCCCCTTAACTAGGGTCTGTGAAGGAAATTAATACAGGGAAGGGAAAATAGAAATACAATACCACACTCAGTGAAACAAATGCTTGTGACTGAGGGCTTCATTCCTTGCTAGCACCACTGGAACAGCCAGCTGTATAAGGTATGTTTTATTATAGAATTAACCTTGACCTAGGGTTCAAAGAGAAAGGTTAGTTTGAAATAAATCAGTAGTATGGTCAGGTCACTTCAAAGAGTCTAAAGCTGAGCTTGAAGATTACATGCTGTTTATGTGTATCCAGTTGGAATAGAACATATGGTAAAGATAATAGAAGTAAACTATTTATCTCTTCCCCTTGCCCCCCCCCCTTAGGATTTAACGGCTTTTTGTCCTTTGCATAGATCTGCTACAGGGAATGTGTTTGTCCTGGGATGTTTATTGAAAACAGAAATATGGAATAAAACTGCCTTCTTAAGTCAGCTGGGTAAAATAGTCTTGCCTTTAGCGTTTTTCCCATTGCTCAGATTAAAGTAAACTGTTTTGGAAATAGTCATGAATTTGATGAATCACGTTTCTCTGTCACTTGTCTCAGTGAACTCAGACAGTCATAGGAAAATCGAAACAAAATGTGCTCAGCTCTCAATTATTGTAGTTCTGATCTAAAAGCAGGAGCATATTTAATTGTTACTTGTGAATTACATGGATTTAAGAGCTTTCCAAATACCAGATAATCCTTGCAGCATCCCAGCAAAATGGGCATGAGTATCCCAGCAAGCACAGGGAATGGGAACTGAGTAAGCAATTTACCCAAAGCCACTCAAAATCTGTAGAAAAAGTCAGACTAGTCCTCATGGCTACTTTAGATTCCAACCCTTTTTGAGGGAGAGGACCAGAGTCCCACCTGGAATTTTCTGAGTGCCAGTCTGTTGCTTTAACCACGAGACCAACCTGTACCTTTTGGCCCATGTACCCTTATTCTTTTGCTCTCTGTGCAGTGAGGGAGATACCAGGACTTGAAAGGCAGTGTGTCCACCAGTCGTTTGAGTCCATGTTCAGCTTTGTGTGGGTCACTGTGTAGAGGGAATAAAAGAACTTTTCACTTCTTTCAAACACATTGGATGGTGTTTTGAGCAACCTGGTCTAGTGGAAGGTGTTCCTGTCCATGGCAGGGGGGTGGAAGGAAATGATTTTTAAGATCCCTTCCAACCCAAACGATTCTAGGATTGGATGAAGGACAAGGCAGATGCAGTGAGGAGCTGGCAGTCATTGTCTCAGATGCAGAGAGTTGCTGTGGTGTGTGATGTGCAAGGCTGACACTGGAATTTCGCAGTGCTTACAGGGAAGCAGTGGGAAGAGCAGGGCTGGTGGATGCTGGGAAGCAGAGGGGATCCTCTGCTGAAATTAAAACCAACTGCTGAGCCGAGCCGTGGTCACTCTGTAATAGCTTTTCTCCACAGATTGTTTTTTCCCTAATGTGATACATGCAGTGTGCAGATAGTAGCACGTTTTAAGATTTATGGCTGCCTGATTTTTCCCATTAATAGGGAAATCTGATAATTATCCATTTTAAAGCGATTGCTGAACAATAGGAAGGAGCATGCTTGTTAAAAGTAAACATAAAAGCGAGCTGGATCTATCTTAGGGTGCTGAGCCTTTGATAGATTTTCTCCTTACAGCAGTCTTTGATCTGCCACACCAGAAAATAAACTCAGTGGGAGACTGGATATGGAATATAGAGCAGTTCACCTCTAGGTCACGGGCTCCAATGCAGGCTGGGTCAGGAGTGATCCTCTGGGTCAGCTTTGGCAGGAGCTGGCAATGGCAGCACCCGAATGTCTGCGCTGCACCTGCCTGCTGGCACAGGGAGAGTCTGCAGGGACACCCCTGCAGCAAGGGGGGACCTATTGCTTCTTCCCCACCTTCCAGATGAGAGCCTTGCAGCTTTTCCAAGGAGATAAATTATGTGGGGATACCCAGGGCAGTGCAGGGGCTGCATCAGGATTTGGCTCTCGGGAATGCTCTTGCTGGAGGAAGCCAAGTGCTCTGGCATGGGACATGTGCAGGTCATGCCCACCCCTTCACTGCAGTCTCTGTGTTCTTCATCTTCTCAAAGATGCAACAGCTGTGCCTGTTAATTATCAGTTAATCTAAAAAAAAAGAACAGTGTTTAAAGTGGTCCTATCAGTCCTGTAGAAAGAGACCTGTGGATGTACACCAGTTGTCCCAGGGGCAGCAACATCTCCTGGCAAATAAAGGGCTGTTATCTCAGAAATATTTGAGCCCTGTGTCTCCTCACCTTTGGAGGGCTGATTTCAAAAGAAAAGTTGTGCAGCTTTGTTTTGAAAGGGGCTGGATGCAAATGACTCCAT